TCTCCGAGCTTCATGCTGAACAATAGGAGATGGACCTGTTTGAAGAAAGACAACCACGAAGCAATCAGCAACCGTTAGCCTTCTACACTCACAGAAGAAACGACAACTACAACCGACGTGACAAGCAGATCTGATACGACACCAGAGGTCTCACCATCGTGCCGCCGTTCTGCCACAACTATCAGACATCCGGGCACTCCAAGGTTGAATGCACACGCCCTCGAGTCTTTCATCCAGCAGACCCGCAAGTCGCCTCCACTCAGGAGAATCCGCCAAGCCGCTCCTCTACACCTGCACAAGGCGTATCGAACATTATTAATTGCATGGTGCACATCGACAACTGCACACCCAAATGACCACCCACTTACGCTCCAGACGAAGAAGAACTGTTGCCACCACGCTCACAAGGTCTTCAAATCAACCCCACGTATGCTGCAGTCGCCAACGCCGAACCCACCTGGCAAAACACCTGGTTCTTGGACAGTTGATGCGGCCAATACATGTGTTCCTCCGGGCGCTTCGTACAACAAGTGCGACGTCTCAACCGCGATGTCATCATCACTGTCGCCAACAACGAAAACCTGAAGACAAACAGACAAGGAGTTGTTCAACTTCAGTCAATGGAAACAAACGTCATTCTGCAACTCAACAAGGTTCTCATCGTCGGCAATTTGGGATACAATCTACTGAGTGTCAGCCAGTTAATGGCAAAGGGAATTCACCTAGAATGTGACTCGGACGCCAACGAGTTTCGACTTTACCACGGGAAGGGCGGCCTCTTCATCGGTCGCGCTCTCCTGAAGTCGGGCGTCTTCGTGCTAGACTTTGTCCCCGACCGCGGAACTGCTGACAGCGATGGCATCGTGTCGTTCGCCGCCTGGACGCACCCGCCAGACCTTCACCCCGACTTCACTCCAGACGGATTCTGGTACTCCAACACCATCCCTGCAGCACAAAGAACACGCGCATTAGCAGTTATTCGTCAAGAACGACACATACCAGCAAGTACACCTTCCTCGACATCACCTGTAGTAACAACAGCAGGACCTAGCCACGCGCCATCACCAGCAATCCGAGGACCGCCATCTGAAGCGGATCAACTCATGCCCATCACCAGAGGAGTCTACCGCAGTCCCGCCACGGTCGTCGCGTTCTTCTCCAACGCCAACGTGTACCAGCGCTCACCCGGCCATCGCGCTCCCGACGACATCTGGCATCAACACCTCGGACACCCTGCAAACAGCATAGTACTACAAACCATACAAGCCGGAGTATTAGAAAAGGACGCTCTTCTCACAACAAGCGGCCAGGAGCTTCAACGACCCCGCGCACGATGCTTCACGTGTCCTGAAGCTGATCTTCCCCACCAACCTTTCCCGTCGCACCACAATCCAAGCGCACCTGCATACACATCGATGGAAAAAGTTTACAGCAACATCTTAAATATGCCTCAAGATGACAGTGAAGCAGAGTACAACTATGTCATCACGTTCATCGACACAGCAACACGATACGTCTGGCACTACAACCTCAAAACACGTGATCAAGCGTTCGAAGCTTTCACGACGTGGTTCCCCATCGCTGAACGAGAATCGGGCTCCCAACTCAAAAGCTTACAGTCCGTCGGGGCACTGGAGTATCAGTCACAAAGGTTCAAGAGCTATCTGGCAGAAAGAGGCATCAGACGCCTGGTGTCTCTGCCCTATGCTCACCAGCAGTAAGGTGTCGCAGAGAAGATGAGCCGGACTTTGCAGACGACGATGCGAAAGCTGCTCTTGGGGATGAGACTGCCCAACACACTGTGGCCTGACGCGATGACACATGCAGTCCACCTCCACAACTTGATGTCCTCGTCATCACTTCCCAACAACGCATCACCGCACCTGCTGTGGACAGGAAAACAGGGCAGCACAAAATTACTTCGAGTTTTCGGCTGCATGGTACAGTACAGACCCCACACAGCCCGAGCAGGACGATTCTCTCAACGAGCACGGTGGGGACTACACCTCGGCATCGCAAAACATTTCCAGGCATGGTCACTTCTCGACATTCAGGACAAAACCACCGTGGCCTCACGTGATGTGATTTTCTACGAGAGACTGACGCTACAGCATTACCTGGACAACATCGCCAACACAACAGATCCCACCGACGGTTTCGAGGGCCATCGGTCCTTCGCCGACCATGCTGCCGAAGCTGACGCAGCAGAAGAAGACGTACCTAAAGCCTCGGAAGCTGCCGGACCACTCCCTTACTGCTCCGTGCCCGTTCCACTCGACGACGACAATCCTCTCGATAGTAACAACCTCGACACCTATTACCAGTTCGCTCACCAGGGTTACACTACACCACAACCGGTCGACACAAATATCTCTGAACGCATCGGACCCAATTTCTTACCTGACCCCGAAGATGGTGACGAAGCAGCTTAAACCGAGAATGACAATTCCCCTCAACACACACCCACGGGCCTGCAAATACTTGGACTTTGGGTCGCCGTCTAGAGCCCGCCGCCGCCGTCGCCGCGCGAGCCAACGACTCTGTCGCAGGCTCTGGGGGGGGAACACAAGGCGAAATGGAAGGAAGCAATGGAAAAAGAACTGAAGACCCTGCAAGACCGAAATACGTGGAAGCTGGTACCTGCAACAAAAACCAACAGGAAGAACGTGCTCTCGGGGAAATGGGTGTACCGCATCAAGACTAATGCGGATGGCTCCATCGACCGCTTCAAGGCTCGCTGGGTCGTACGAGGATTCGACCAGCGATACGGAACCGACTACACAGAGACATTCGCCCCAGTCTCCCGACATACCTCCCTGCGCATTCTGCTCGTCGTCGCGGCCACAAAAATGCTACCACTGCGCCAGATCGATGTCGCCAACGCCTTCCTGTACGCACATGTGGACGCCGAAATCTTCGTCGAGCAGCCCCACGGATTCATCGACGACCCCACAAAAGTGTGCCAGCTGGTAAAATCCCTCTACGGAATCAAACAAGCCCCGCGGCTCTGGCAGCAGCACCTTCACGGCCGCCTCGTTAGGATCGGCTTCCTGCAGCTGCCGCACGATCAAGGAATGTACCGACTACAAAAGGAGCGGGAAATTTGTTATACTCATCGTCTACGTCGATGACCTGCTCTACGTCGGCTCCACTACCGACGTCCTCACCTGGTTCAAAGGGGAGCTGAGAAGTGACTTAACACTCACGGTGTCAGACACCGTGAGCCAGTACCTAGGTCTGAACGTCGTCAAAGACGACTCGGCATTCTACCTACGCACCGGAAAGTACGCAGGCGTTGTCGCGAAGAAGTTCGGACTAACGCCGGTCGCAGTCGCGACTCCCTATCGCTACGGGAACAACAGCGACACCTCCGCAAAGCTCCCCGCGAAGCAAATCCAGAAATATCAACAGAAGCTCAGCTGTCTACTGTTCGCAGCAGTAACCTGCCGACCGGATCTATCCTATAGCGCGAGCCGGAGCAAGAGGATCTCGAGGAGCTAAATCGGGCACTCCTCTACTTCGTCTCTACGCCGATGACCGGACTTACCTACAGCAAAGCAACGCCATCGTCCGTACAACTACTCGGCTATGTCGGCGCCGACCACGCGGGAGATAGGGAGAATCGTCGCTCTAGAACGGGCTACATCTACCAACTAGAGCCTATCGGTACTATTTCCTGGCATTCGAGCAAGCAGGAATTAATCGCGCTATCCTCGGCTGAAGCGGAATACATCGCCCTCTGCTCTACGACCAAAGAAGGACTTTACCTGCGGGAGCTGTTCGAGGAAGCGAAAATTGCGACCATACCTGCCTTCTCGTTACTCTGCGACAACCAATCCGCAATCAAAATCGCGAACAAAAACGGGTTCGCCAATCGAACCAAGCACATCGCTCTGCGGTATTTCTTCGTCAATGATGAGATCGCGAAGGGGAGACTTCAACTCAGTTACTGCTCCACGACAGAAATGGTTGCAGATAACCTGACGAAGAAACTGGCAAAGGCAAAGTTTGATTACTGCATGCTGCTGACCGGGCAGATAAACGTCCCCAAATCCGGACATGTCAGCACTCCAGAAAGGAAGGGGAGTGTTGGAAATACCTCGAGGACTTAAGCATTTCTGAAGTGTAACACTACACTTGAGGAAAGTCGTATCGAGTACGCGAGTCAACGGAGGTTACACGAGGAGGTTGGACGAAAGAACACGAAAGGACGAAGGGACTCGAAGGGTCGCAACCGGAGGTTGCGACTGACCGTTACGACTGCAAGAGTGGTAACCGAACCAACGATCGAGTCGCTGTGCGACTCGATAACCGTTCCTTCAACTGTATTCTACAACTTCTTCATCTCTTATTTTCTATATATTGCTGTATGCTTGTTTCTCTAAAACAATCATTTGCTCTCACATACTAGTACAAGGGTTCAACTACTCAACACTTCCGCTGCACTACTCAGGCATTATGTACAAGTGGGACTTAGTCTCTGAAAAGATCCAAAGGGTTTTTCTCAGCCCCACACAAAGAATGGTATTGCTATTTTAAATATGAATTGGAAATGTAATGACCGTTTTTATGCGTACATTGTGATTGAATGACAGCAGTTTGAAAGAATGTACGGCTGCAAAAAAACAGTGTGTGACTGATGTTTTTTGCAAGTAGAACTGGAAGGGCAATGTGAGGGGCTAACGAACCAACAAATAGTGGGAGGAAATAGGATATGCATACGGTAGGTTCTTTGTGAAAATTCAAGTCCAGTATGTCAGCAGCACCTCACCATACCGAGACGCGTCTTACCGAACATTGCAAGCACACCACAACCAGCAACCAATAATTGTGGGATGGAATGCGGCAGCGACGTCGGCATTCGCGATTCGGTTGCTACTACTCCTCCTCCATCCAAGTGAGTGGGGAACGTGATGCGACACCGGGCGCGCCCTCGCTTGCTCGCTCCAGGATAAATCACGGTCTGGTTGTTTGTGAAGAGCATTCCTTCTCGTTCAATTGGGTGAATTTGCTTGTCTTTGCTCCACCCGCTCCTCTCACCTGTCCAAGCTCCTCTGCTCGACAAGTGAGTTGCTGGAATTGGCAACTTGGTTTCGACCGCATTTGCACACAAAGAGCACTGCCAACTTCGGGTCCGTTTGGGACTCACTAGGACTCAGCAGCTTTCGATCCAGCTTATCAACAGCTTACACCGTCTTGTCGGAACGCTTTCCCAGAGAGTTCGCTCGATTTATTGACTTCCGTGGCCATGGGGAATCTCTTCGACGTGCTCCGTGCGTCTCTCGTTCTCTCACTCGTGCTCATCTCCCTCTCGGCGCTCCCCCTCGTATCCGCCGGCTCGCCTAAGCGCGTCGCCCGCACGCGATCAACGCACGATGCCTACTGGCGGCAGCGCCGGCTGACCGATGTCGTCGACCGCGGCTCGCGGCCGCCGCTGCACATGTTCGAAACGAAGGCCCGCTTCGAGGAAGAGAAGCGCGAAAAGGGCGACGCGGGGAGCAATGGCGGCGCCTCGTCAACCACGCCGATCAAATACCAGGGCGGGCCCGTGATGACCGGCAGCGTGAACGTGTACTTAATCTACTACGGCGACTGGCCGACGGGATCCGGGCAGAATGTGATCGAGAACTTTATCCGCTCGCTGAGCGCGGGCTCGAAGCGGCAGGGGGACCCGTCGGAGCCCAAGGTGAAGCGCTGGTGGGCGATCAACGCGGCGTATTACCAGGAGGCAAACGGCGGGAGGGCGAACGTCAGCAGCAAGGTACGGGCAGATTCTAAAGGTTTCTGGGCCATCTACTCTGTTCGTATTTTTGAACACTTCTGCGGGGAACCAAACGTGCGATTGAATCGAGGTTAATGAACGAACGAAATTGCTTGTAAGCGAAGAGTCACGCGTTTCTGATTCGGCTTTTATGAACGCTCATACTACCCTGTCAATCAACGCAAGCTTTTGTTTTTTCTATTAACCCAGGTGCGACTAGCTGGGACGGTCTACGATGACTACTCCGCTGGGAAGAGTTTCGGCGACAACACAGTGTGGGAAGGTAAGCATCCTAGCACATTTGAAACAACGGAACATTACGCCTACTACCCTGTTAGTAAACGTTTTGGTGATGGAAGCTTGATCGCCTCTTATTCGTGTCTGGCTTCGCGAACTATAAGACTTACCGAATTACCTACCCTCGCTTTCATTGCAGTTGTTTCAAGCAAGATTGGCGACGGAAAAGCGTTTCCGTACGACCCGCAGGCCATTTACCTGCTGCTTACGAGCCCGGACGTAACAAATCCCGGTTACTGTAGCGAATATTGCGGATGGCACACAATGGATCACATGGGATCCGACGCGGTTATATACTCGTTTGTGGGTCACCACGGGCAGTGTGCAGAAGGTTGCGGAGCGCAGAGCACGTCGCCCAACGGAAACCCTGCGATCGATGCGACGGTTTCCACCATCGCCCACGAAATCGCAGAGGCGGCAAGCGACCCTGATGCCAATTCAGGCTGGCTGGATGACGGGGGGGAAGAGAATGCAGACAAGTGTTCGTACGATGTTGGGCCGACGAAAACGGGTCGCGACAACAGTGGTAACGAGTACCTGTACAATCTGGTCGGGATGAAGGGCATGCGATTTCTGGTTCAGCAGAACTGGGACTGGGAGAAGAACCAGTGCGCGTCTCAGAGGAAGTACCACTAGGAAAGACATTCCGAGTGGCTGTGAAACGAAAGCCCCAATGGCGAAGCCTCGTTTCAAGGGCGGAGTATCCGCCTTGAGCTGCGGCAGAGTATGGTGCAGTGCAGTTACCAAAAGGAATAAGCGATGCTGCGCTGCGTTCGCGCCATAGTACCTGTTTGGGGAAGGCGGGAAGGCCGACTCGGATCCATGGACTGAGTCCAGCACCGGATATGAGGGTTAGCAGAAGTGCTCCTATAACGTAATAAAACGCTCCCAGGAGGGCTATATATCGGGAGTTCACTTATCCATGTATGCGCCACTGGCGGTAATGCAACAACCTCTTGCCGTACTTTCCTACTACTTTATTTACAACGTAGTATATGCACAATGGTACATCTGAAAAGAGACTAAGAAGCCTAGTCTAAGAAGGCACAAACAAAATAGCTAGCTACGGCGAGACCCGAAGGTCTCAATGGTCTACCCCCAAGTAAGCAAAATCAGCAACCGAAGGAAGAGTCAACTCGGGAGGTGAGCGGTTGGTACCTTCGTTGAAACGGGTTTGAGTACGGCGACACACTGTGCGAGCTTGCTCCCGCTGGTGGACCAGAGAAATCCGTTTGTAGAAGTTACTCTCGAACAGAAGAGGAAGGGTATCAGTGGCTCCTCTCATATCGCGAAGATGAGAAGCACCTCGTCGGCTGCAGCTTCGAAGAAAGTTGTGGAAGGAGGATCCAAAGCAGCCAAAAGTCTCGATGACAAGGGGGAGGAGCTTGACGTCTGGACGGCCCTGAAGGGAGGAAGAGTAGGCCGATGTCTTCTCAGCTTCGCAGGTGGCCGCTGCCGTGCCGATCACCGTAGCGGCATTTGAGTGTGGGAATCCATGTTGAGGGTCGGCTACGGAGACATCCAAGGCCCATGTGGTTCCCGAGCTCACATCGCGACAAGTGATGTCAGTGCGACGACCAGGCAAGAGATGCTGATCCTCTAGCTGCGCGGAAAACCCAAGCTCCAAGACGATGCGGTGGACCTCCTGTTTGACTGCATCATGCACCTTGGTAGGCTCGTTGGTAGTAGGGCAGCGAAGGACGTGAGAATGGATGGAAGGGTCTGGGTATGGAGAGTTGCAAGTGCAGGACTGGGCAGATGAGAGGTGAGGAAGGGGGAGGCCAAGGCGAATAGCTGCAGCAATGCGCCACTCAGTCTGAGAAAGCTGCATGTGAGGGGAAGAAGGGGCCACAGTTAGCCAATCTCCAGCATGGGGTCCTTGCAAGGAGGTTAGGCGAGCAAGGCGAAGAGGAGATGTGACTGTGGCCCGAACCTTCTCCAGCGCCGCAGCTTCGAGGTGCTGAGAGAGGTGGGTGAAGAGTTTAGGAGGATAGCCAGATTGAAGGACAGGCCAGGGTGGGAGGAGATCACGAATATCTTGTGGAAGCATAGAAAAGGCAGATGGGATGAAGGGGTCAAGGCGGTCAAGTGTATCTGCTGCGATGAAAGGACGAAAAGGGGAGGCGCCGTCTACGTTGAAGTGGGAGGATAGGAGCTCGATTGTTTGGGCCCAACTGGAAAGGAAACTGAGAGGGGCAATGGACGATGAGGCACGGATACCGAATCCACCCAAGCGGAGAGGGAGAGAGGCTTGAAGTTGAGCAGTCCTTGTCTGTTCGGTTGCTTCCAGACACTGAACAGACAAGGACTGCTCAACTTCAAGCCTCTCTCCCTCTCCGCTTGGGTGGATTCGGTATCCGTGCCTCATCGTCCATTGCCCCTCTCAGTTTCCTTTCCAGTTGGGCCCAAACAATCGAGCTCCTATCCTCCCACTTCAACGTAGACGGCGCCTCCCCTTTTCGTCCTTTCATCGCAGCAGATACACTTGACCGCCTTGACCCCTTCATCCCATCTGCCTTTTCTATGCTTCCACAAGATATTCGTGATCTCCTCCCACCCTGGCCTGTCCTTCAATCTGGCTATCCTCCTAAACTCTTCACCCACCTCTCTCAGCACCTCGAAGCTGCGGCGCTGGAGAAGGTTCGGGCCACAGTCACATCTCCTCTTCGCCTTGCTCGCCTAACCTCCTTGCAAGGACCCCATGCTGGAGATTGGCTAACTGTGGCCCCTTCTTCCCCTCACATGCAGCTTTCTCAGACTGAGTGGCGCATTGCTGCAGCTATTCGCCTTGGCCTCCCCCTTCCTCACCTCTCATCTGCCCAGTCCTGCACTTGCAACTCTCCATACCCAGACCCTTCCATCCATTCTCACGTCCTTCGCTGCCCTACTACCAACGAGCCTACCAAGGTGCATGATGCAGTCAAACAGGAGGTCCACCGCATCGTCTTGGAGCTTGGGTTTTCCGCGCAGCTAGAGGATCAGCATCTCTTGCCTGGTCGTCGCACTGACATCACTTGTCGCGATGTGAGCTCGGGAACCACATGGGCCTTGGATGTCTCCGTAGCCGACCCTCAACATGGATTCCCACACTCAAATGCCGCTACGGTGATCGGCACGGCAGCGGCCACCTGCGAAGCTGAGAAGACATCGGCCTACTCTTCCTCCCTTCAGGGCCGTCCAGACGTCAAGCTCCTCCCCCTTGTCATCGAGACTTTTGGCTGCTTTGGATCCTCCTTCCACAACTTTCTTCGAAGCTGCAGCCGACGAGGTGCTTCTCATCTTCGCGATATGAGAGGAGCCACTGATACCCTTCCTCTTCTGTTCGAGAGTAACTTCTACAAACGGATTTCTCTGGTCCACCAGCGGGAGCAAGCTCGCACAGTGTGTCGCCGTACTCAAACCCGTTTCAACGAAGGTACCAACCGCTCACCTCCCGAGTTGACTCTTCCTTCGGTTGCTGATTTTGCTTACTTGGGGGTAGACCATTGAGACCTTCGGGTCTCGCCGTAGCTAGCTATTTTGTTTGTGCCTTCTTAGACTAGGCTTCTTAGTCTCTTTTCAGATGTACCATTGTGCATATACTACGTTGTAAATAAAGTAGTAGGAAAGTACGGCAAGAGGTTGTTGCATTACCGCCAGTGGCGCATACATGGATAAGTGAACTCCCGATATATAGCCCTCCTGGGAGCGTTTTATTACGTTATAGGAGCACTTCTGCTAACCCTCATATCCGGTGCTGGACTCAGTCCATGGATCCGAGTCGGCCTTCCCGCCTTCCCCAAACAGGTACTATGGCGCGAACGCAGCGCAGCATCGCTTATTCCTTTTGGTAACTGCACTGCACCATACTCTGCCGCAGCTCAAGGCGGATACTCCGCCCTTGAAACGAGGCTTCGCCATTGGGGCTTTCGTTTCACAGCCACTCGGAATGTCTTTCCTAGTGGTACTTCCTCTGAGACGCGCACTGGTTCTTCTCCCAGTCCCAGTTCTGCTGAACCAGAAATCGCATGCCCTTCATCCCGACCAGATTGTACAGGTACTCGTTACCACTGTTGTCGCGACCCGTTTTCGTCGGCCCAACATCGTACGAACACTTGTCTGCATTCTCTTCCCCCCCGTCATCCAGCCAGCCTGAATTGGCATCAGGGTCGCTTGCCGCCTCTGCGATTTCGTGGGCGATGGTGGAAACCGTCGCATCGATCGCAGGGTTTCCGTTGGGCGACGTGCTCTGCGCTCCGCAACCTTCTGCACACTGCCCGTGGTGACCCACAAACGAGTATATAACCGCGTCGGATCCCATGTGATCCATTGTGTGCCATCCGCAATATTCGCTACAGTAACCGGGATTTGTTACGTCCGGGCTCGTAAGCAGCAGGTAAATGGCCTGCGGGTCGTACGGAAACGCTTTTCCGTCGCCAATCTTGCTTGAAACAACTGCAATGAAAGCGAGGGTAGGTAATTCGGTAAGTCTTATAGTTCGCGAAGCCAGACACGAATAAGAGGCGATCAAGCTTCCATCACCAAAACGTTTACTAACAGGGTAGTAGGCGTAATGTTCCGTTGTTTCAAATGTGCTAGGATGCTTACCTTCCCACACTGTGTTGTCGCCGAAACTCTTCCCAGCGGAGTAGTCATCGTAGACCGTCCCAGCTAGTCGCACCTGGGTTAATAGAAAAAACAAAAGCTTGCGTTGATTGACAGGGTAGTATGAGCGTTCATAAAAGCCGAATCAGAAACGCGTGACTCTTCGCTTACAAGCAATTTCGTTCGTTCATTAACCTCGATTCAATCGCACGTTTGGTTCCCCGCAGAAGTGTTCAAAAATACGAACAGAGTAGATGGCCCAGAAACCTTTAGAATCTGCCCGTACCTTGCTGCTGACGTTCGCCCTCCCGCCGTTTGCCTCCTGGTAATACGCCGCGTTGATCGCCCACCAGCGCTTCACCTTGGGCTCCGACGGGTCCCCCTGCCGCTTCGAGCCCGCGCTCAGCGAGCGGATAAAGTTCTCGATCACATTCTGCCCGGATCCCGTCGGCCAGTCGCCGTAGTAGATTAAGTACACGTTCACGCTGCCGGTCATCACGGGCCCGCCCTGGTATTTGATCGGCGTGGTTGACGAGGCGCCGCCATTGCTCCCCGCGTCGCCCTTTTCGCGCTTCTCTTCCTCGAAGCGGGCCTTCGTTTCGAACATGTGCAGCGGCGGCCGCGAGCCGCGGTCGACGACATCGGTCAGCCGGCGCTGCCGCCAGTAGGCATCGTGCGTTGATCGCGTGCGGGCGACGCGCTTAGGCGAGCCGGCGGATACGAGGGGGAGCGCCGAGAGGGAGATGAGCACGAGTGAGAGAACGAGAGACGCACGGAGCACGTCGAAGAGATTCCCCATGGCCACGGAAGTCAATAAATCGAGCGAACTCTCTGGGAAAGCGTTCCGACAAGACGGTGTAAGCTGTTGATAAGCTGGATCGAAAGCTGCTGAGTCCTAGTGAGTCCCAAACGGACCCGAAGTTGGCAGTGCTCTTTGTGTGCAAATGCGGTCGAAACCAAGTTGCCAATTCCAGCAACTCACTTGTCGAGCAGAGGAGCTTGGACAGGTGAGAGGAGCGGGTGGAGCAAAGACAAGCAAATTCACCCAATTGAACGAGAAGGAATGCTCTTCACAAACAACCAGACCGTGATTTATCCTGGAGCGAGCAAGCGAGGGCGCGCCCGGTGTCGCATCACGTTCCCCACTCACTTGGATGGAGGAGGAGTAGTAGCAACCGAATCGCGAATGCCGACGTCGCTGCCGCATTCCATCCCACAATTATTGGTTGCTGGTTGTGGTGTGCTTGCAATGTTCGGTAAGACGCGTCTCGGTATGGTGAGGTGCTGCTGACATACTGGACTTGAATTTTCACAAAGAACCTACCGTATGCATATCCTATTTCCTCCCACAATTTGTTGGTTCTTTAGCCCCTCACATTGCCCTTCCAGTTCTACTTGCAAAAAACATCCCAGTCACACACTGTTTTTCCGCAGCCGTACATTCTTTCACACTGCTGTCATTCAATCACAATGTACGCATAAAAATGGTCATTACATTTCCAATTCATATTTAATGTAGCAACACCGTACCATCATTTGCATACCAATATATATATATATATATAAAAACCCAGCCAACGATACCGTTAAACTATCAGAAAGAAAATGATTGTACTAGAATGTGTGTGACGGCACCTGAACCAAGGCTGAAGCAGTAGCCCTGTGAGGACCTGAGGGTCTCGGCGTCGTCTGCCCAAGAAGCGTCCGTGTGTCCAGTAAGGACCACTGGCCTACGTCCTCCTAGCACTAACCCCATGCCCGATGTACTTGGAAGATAACGCAAAACCCTCTTAGCGGCAGACCAGTGCAGAGGTCGATGTCTGCCTGTAGCCACAAAGCGAGCCAGGATGCTGAGAGGGTATGCGAGATCTGGGCGCGTGCAAGTCATCAGGTACATGAGGCAACCCACCAGCTCTGCGTAAGGACCACTGGGCTCTGCTCACTCCTCAGGAACTGGAGCGGAGAGCCTGTGGTCTAGAGGCAGAGGAGTAGGCTGTGCAGAGGAGAACTGAAGGCCGAACCTCTGAAGGACCTGGCGCACCAAGTGCGACTGAGTCAAAGTGATGGTGCGAGTTGCTCTGTCCCTGGAGATCTGCAAGCCAAGGTAGTGGCGCAGTTCTCCAAGGTCAGTGCAGGTGTGTCTCTTCAGCAGCTCTGCCTTCACAGAGGCTGGTGCGTCCCTGTCTGCCATGGCGAAGACCAGGTCGACTACGTAAACAAGGATGTAGAACGGAGTGTGGCCAGCAAGAACGAAGAGCGAGGGGTCTATAGAGGATGGAAAGAACTGCAGGTCAGCAAGCGTAGCACGCAGAGTGTCGTGCCACTCACGGGGAGCCTGCCGCAGGCCGTAGACGGGGTGCCTGAGGAGCCACTGGGTCCCAGGAGAGAAGGTACCAGTGAAGCCCTGAGGGCGACGCAGGTAGAGCTGCTCGTGTAGACTGCCCTGAAGAAACGCAGTGGAGAAGTCGAGGGAGTGAAGCTCGTAGTCACGCTGCGCTGCTACGTGTAGCAGCACCCGAAGAGTAGTCATTCGGGGTCGGAGCGAAGGTCTGGAAGAAGTCCACCCCCTCACGCTGACTTAAACCTCTAGCCACGTAGCGGGCCTTGAACACAAGCGGCTCTCCAGGAGGGCGCTTCACGTTGAAGAGCCAGCGGCCATCAACTACGTTCACCCCTGGTGGGGGAACTGCGTCGACGTAGGTGCCGGTGGATCTCCAAGATGCCATCTCCTGCTCCATGGCAGCTATCCACTGAGAGGCCCAGGGTCCTGAGACCGCCTCAGCGTAAGTGCGAGGGGTCGGGATGTCGAAAGCGTCGGGGTCACCCTCAGGGACTAGAAGCATGGAACAGAGATGGGGAGCAGCCTCGGAGAGGAAAGCAAGCTCGTACTGGCGGTCCTCCAGGACGTCACTGCCAAGGGCAGGAGTACCCCCGACAGACGGAGGACAGGCAGGGTCAGAGACCAGAGCGGTGGCGTAGTCAAGGTGGCGGGTAGAGGCAAAGTCAGCGACCGCAACGACAAGGGCGTCAAGGCTCGAAACTGGAACAGACGGGTCGGTAACGAGAGAGGCAAGGACCCGAGGAGCAAGAGGACGAGCGGCACACAGGTAGTCAGACAGAGGGGGGCGAGCAACGACAAGGGAGGACGGAGGGGGCGACGGGAGAAGGGGAGGACGAGATGCGTGGGAACAAAGCAACATAGGGTGAGAGCGTGAGACAGGGGAGACAGGTCGAGCACGGGAGGGACGGCGAGACCAGGCGTGAGACGGGAGAGCCAGGTCAGGAGACAGAGGAGGGGACACAGGAGGGGAACGAGGGGGGAAACAGGCCGGAGATGCGTCCGGAGGAGGGAACACAGGGCCGGAGACAGGAGGAGGAGGAGG